TCTTTCTTTCTTTCTTTTTTTAATACAATTTTTTATAAAATTGTGTTTATACGTATGGATACGCGTATTCATTTGCATTTTTATGCTCGCTTATTTCCAAGTCTTTAACCCGTATCCGTGTGTTAGAATTTTAAGCATAAATATTAAGAATTTTTTTAAAAGGGTTTTTTAAAATTTTATTCTAGTTTTGTGTATTTGGAATAAAACGACAATGTTCAGCGGTTCTCATTTTCCATTCGTTATATTTAATCGTAAACAAATAAGTTCTAATTAAGTTTTAATTAATTTTAATTTTAATCATTATAATGCAACAGTTAAAGACGAATATTTTTCTGCAAATGAATTATATACTGTAATTAAAAATAAAATATAAATAAATGAAAAATAAATTAGAAATTTAGATCTATAAATATATACAAATTAAGTTTTGTTAATTAATGCATAGTTTATGAGATACAATTTATTTCAGTTGAGAATCACTGATTAATTACAAAGGATTAAATATTAAAAAAGTCGACTATTAAGTTTAAAAGTGAAAAGTTGTTGGTAAAATTCTAGGCGCACAATTACGGGTTAATTAAAATAAGTAAAATATAGAATAATCTAAGAATCAGCCATTTTGAGTTTGCGTTAAACTACAAAATGGAAATTTCTTTTTGATATCTATATTTATCAAAGAATTTCTTTTATATATACATCGAATAGTATCAAAAGTTAATTAATTTTTTTTCTATTTTTTTTGCAATCTTATCATTTTATTATCATAGCGAACAAATTAAAATTTATATATATCGTGTTCAACTTTTAAAATATTTTTTTTTGATAAAAAAAAAGAAAAAAAAGAAAAAGAAATATAACTTTCCTGTTTTTTTTTTTTTTTGCTGTTTAAAGAAGATCGAAAGGAACGAGTAAGTGATATTAGTCATTACTTCTTTAGAATTTTCTAAGATTTAGCTTGTTCGTTCTATAAAAAAAAAAAAAAAAAAAGAAAGATAATTTCACATGGATCGACATACGTGAAAATA